GAAACGCCGAATGGGTAAAACGGCATATAATTTGGCGGTAGAGCTCTCCATTAGATTATATCTGAATTGTTATTTCGAGTGCCAAAGGTCGCCCGTCTTGTGTCGTCACTCAAGAGCGCAACCTGTCCAACCAGTTCGGTAAAGTCAGAGGTCACTGGATTCTCCAGCTGAAGGGAAGCTGTCAGCGATGTTTACCTGCGTAGGATTTCTTATATCCGTCCTGTTCCTCGTCCTTCTGCCCTACGCTCACTTCGGGGTACTGTTTGAACTGGTCTGGCCCAAGAAAACCAGTGGTGGACAGACACACCTGTACCTGTGACTGTTGGGACGGTATCTCCAACGGCACGTATCACACGGGCGTGGGCGGCTACGGACACATGTACTTCAACGTCACGCCGGAGACGCTGAGGATGTGGACGCTGACGGTCGTCGCCGTGCTGCTGACGTACGAGTGCGTCACTTACGTCGTACGCCTCGCTCTGAGAAGGAAGATCAGGTCTGTATATTAAATACAGTACAGCCAATGATATAACCGGCCGTCAGTGTAACCAAGAATTCCACTCTACGATAGCTCTTGGAAAAATAGAGTTCTTGAAGCCTTCGATTCGGTCCTTCGATTTTGGTTGATAACTCTCGTAATAGAACCAATTACTATTTATTTTTCTCTTCTGTGATGGTATTACATGGTATAAAGTTGGTGGGTGTAGTATTTAGTACGTCTACCAATTTATTAGTCACTTCGCACGTCATGCATAGTCTGGACATTTTTCTTTCGTCTTAGGTCGTTTTGCACATCATAGAGGGCCTGCAAGGGGGGGGGTCCCGACAACGCTCTACGCTGAATTCGGAAACCCTCGAGTACGCTTTACGATAAATTCCAAGTGGCTACAACGCATTACGTAGAATTAAAACGGCGAATACGCTCTACGCAAAATGCGAAGAGCGGTCCGTCTACGCTCTACGTAGAATTAAAACGGCAGATTACGCTCTACGGAAAAGGGCTTGCGGGCCCCCATCATAGTCTTGTCACTTTGCACATCATAGTCTAGTCAGAGCATAGTCTGGACATTTTTCTTTTGTCTTAGGTCGTCCATGTTCATCCTCCTACTGACCGTGATCCACTCGCACTACTACTCCTGGTGGGTTTTTATCGAGTACTACAACGACGAGTCCTACTCCCAGTGGTGGCGTCAGCTGGTCTTCACCCTGACAGAGATGGCGTCCACTGTGGCCGTGGTGTCTCAGTTAGACAGGGCTGTGCCCCTCTCTCCTCGCGCACTCCTGACTGTTGCCAGTATTGCCTTGTTTCACGTCTTGACGACAGGGAAGACTCAGTTCGTGGAAAGCGTGCTCCAGTCGAAGGGGAAGTTTCACCAGCAGTACAGGGACGCTGCGTTCATGACGTGTGATGTCGTGTTACTGAATATTTCCTCCATGGAGTTGATACGGCTGTGGTGTCGGGGGGACGCCGCCGCGAGACGGAACTACAGAACTTTCAAACGCGACGTTTTATGCTCCGCTGCAGTTACAGCTGGACTTCTGGTAGCCTTTAAACTCGTATTTGATTCAGCTGAGCAGTAGATGTGAGAATGACGTCTAGGGTCTTAGCATATATACAATAACGTTATAAACATACATTTGAAACGCGACGTTTTGTTCCCAGCTACTAACTTACAGCTGGACTCTATATGATTCAGAAGTGCAGTGGTCATGAGAATGGTTCCTCGAATTTTATCTTGTGTCAAATCAGCATACCAAACCTTTTAAGAGCAAAAGAAAAATATCCTCCAACGCCTAAACAGTAGAAGTGGTAGACAATTTAGTTACCTTGGCAGCTCAATTCCAAATAAGGACTGAAGTGTTGCAGACACCGTTGTAACAATACAATGCAATGTATCAGTCACACGTTATAATAATAAAATATATACATGATACAAATCAATTAATCGTCTTAAAAATGTCTTTTTTTTAAAATACCTTCTGTTCTGTATACCATGGACCCATGTGTATACTAGTACTTCCTATGATCTTGTGTTAGGGGTGCCGATATAGCTTTATGGTGGTATAAATTTGGACACCCTAGCGACATGCTTTAGAGCTGCAAGGGCATTGTTGACATAACTTTGGAAGAGGAAAATTTCCTTGAAAAGAGTAATGGATTTTCACAAGTTTTGGCACGTAGGTTACTTAGGTGGAGATGTACATACTCGTAATCATGCCAGCTGGAACTTCACTTGCACCATCAATGGTGTGTGGGTAGGAGAGATTGACCTAGCTGCATCAAGTTATATTTGACGTGAGGATAAGTCTGCCAATGCCCATCAATTTTGGGCTCATATCAGTTCTCCTTAGTACTCCAGTGAAACCTTAGCTTTGTGGTCTACAGTTATGTGCATGCTCTAGGTCATTTTGTAGCAGGTAGCGTTCTGTGCATGCTCTAGGTCATTTTGTACTTGTAGCTGATAGCGCTTAAGTAGGGAACCATGGGTGTAAATTTGTCACCTAGGTGATTGGTTAGGCACTGCAGATGTATAAAACAACTTGCTACTGTATATGCTTTCATACATCTCCCCAAAACCAAGAACCAGTTAGTGTCACTTAACTCAAATTTCTCAAGGTAATTTCCTCTTCAAAACTTTCCTACATGTATTGTTATTATTGATATCTAATGCAGCTTATAGATGTGTAAATTCATCAGCCCAAAACCAGCCGACAAGAGCACTTAATGTCAACATTTTATTCTTTCTCCCATCGAACTGCCAAAAATTTCTGTACCATCAGCACGGGCTATTTACAGCTCCGCTACCAGAAGTTTCACTCCACCACAGATGACTAGTAAGCTAAGACTATATATTCTTCACATTATCTATCACTGTATCTTCAACTGCCAATCCTGACACCTGAGGCTGTCTGTCAAAGTCAGAAACTGGTCAGTCTATTCCAAAGGTTTGTTCCATTCAATTAAACACGTCCCTGAATGGCCATGCATGGCATTGTCATCAAGGGCATAGTGAAATATTTACCTATGACCATGTAGCTGCCAAATTGCCCTTTCAAGACAGTTCACAACCTTTCTCAGGTGTCATTCATTGCTTGTAGACTTATGCTCACCCTCGTTGTCATTTAACATCCATTTCCACTGAAACAAATTGCCTCACACACACAGTATTCCCTGGTCCTAGCCAGGCTCAGATATAAAACTTGACAGAAAGAAATACAGTGCAGGATTAAACAGGAGCCATTGCTGAGGTTTAAGACCTTTATTAGTCATGCAAGTCAGCCAATAGAGATTCGTTTGTCTAAAATTTGATTCTAGTGGTGATAAAAAGGTCAAGAGACACACAAACAACAGAGCCATGATTATTAAATAGCATCCCTCACGTCATGACAAGGAAGATGTCTACTAAGACTTGTCCAAACAATGATTCCTAATTGTACAACTCAATGATTTCTACATGTTGATTTTATACTCCCTTCAGTTATGCCTGTACAATGTGCGTGACATAATGACCTATTTCTTTTTTTTTTCTTCAGTTTTCAGAGCTTGACTAAGATATGAGGGATGAGGTAACAAATCACTCCATTTGGTATAGTTGGCAGATACTGTACTGGAAACCTGTCTGATTTCTATCACTGCAGAGATATCTTACAATTTGTCAAGAGCTCCATTAAGAACGTCTTGGCATCCTTTCTTAGATTTAATACACTTTATTAAGACCTTAATTAAAATCCTTACATATGGTGCAGAAGATCAATGTAAGGGTGCCAAGACATCCTGTATGCTAGCTAAGTACAGATTGTGAAGAGACCTTACAGTGCTGTGTATAAATAGCACAGATGCTGCATCTTAAATGATCTTCTTGATCTCATCATACAGAACGAGCACGAAAGCTCCACCCATGCCACGCAGGACGTTGGAGAAAGCACCCTTGAACAGAGCTGCACCACCCTCATCCTTGATGATCTTACGCCAGCAATCCAAGGTGTTCTTGTAAATCAACTCCTTCAGGCCGGACTGCATCATCATACGCCGACGGACCGTGTCGAAGGGGTACGAGACGATGCCGGCGCTCGTGGTCACCACCTGGGCGATCATCCACGACACGACGAACGGCGTCTTCTTGGGGTCAGGCATCATGCCCTTGGCGGTGTCGAAGCAGCCGAAGTAGGCGGCACGGTAGATGATGATGCCCTGCACGGACACGCTGAAGCCTCTGTACAGACCGTACAGGCCGTCGGACTGGTAGGTCTTCATGATGCAGTTGCCCAGGCCGCTGTACAGCCTCTCGCCGGGGCCCTTACCGATGTCGGCAGCCAGACGTGTACGGGCGAAGTCGAGCGGGTACACGAAACACAGGGAGGTGGCACCAGCAGCACCACCGGAGGCCAGGTTGCCGATGAAGTAGCGCCAGAAACGCTTCTTGTCTACGCCACCCAGGAACAGCTGCTTGTACTTGTCCTTGAAAGCGAAGTTCAGGGCTTGTGTGGGGAAATATCTGGAAGGAATTTACAAACTTCTTGTTAGTATGTATGCTTCTGTTGAACAATGGGATACACAGCACAATAGCAACAAGTCCATATCTATCCCTTGTTTACTAAAGCACAAGCCTTACCTGATGACATTAGCCAAGTTACCACGCCAGAAGGACAAGAAGCCCTGCTCCTTGGGTATCCTGGTCACACAGTCGATAATACCCTTGTACTTCTTGGCCCCGGCAGCTTCCATCTGCTTGGATGCATCTTGCACCTGGGTGAAAACAAAGCATGAACATTGAGTAAATAAAGAAACTCAAGCTAATCATGCTTTTTGCATTAGTGCTATGTAAAACTACTTTTCTGACAAGATTTAACTTGACGCGACCATCCAGTAGTTATGTGAACAGAACTGAAGGCAACTTAATGGGAGTGTGACTAAACGAGGAGGGGCTATAATATAATATTGATTTTCTTGAAGTAACGATTTTGTAGATAACTGGGGTAGGTAAGACTGATTAACATTTTAATATTGTTCTTTATGACTGTCAACAAACATACCACAACCAAGTGTACACTACACTTAAACGGGTGTCCTTCTCAATAGTATTCAGTGACAGTACTACTACAGTATAAAAAGGTCAAAATGGCCACCACTGACTGGAATCCTGAGCCAATCATGCTGTACAGAAATTGTCTGGACAATTATCTGTTATTACGTGTGACTAACAAATCATTGTATTGGAGTAAACCCAAAGCAGCTCATTAATATAAATGACTTGTTCAATTCAAGTCCTCGGCTGCCATCTGCCCTCTACGGTAATACAGTTTTGTTACCAGTTAAAAATAGGGGCCCAGGCCTGGCAATGGGCAAACCCGCATACCAGAAATATAGTACTGATATGGCCATCTGCATAGATCTAGTCCCTACCAGTTTGGGACAACCAAATCTGTAGAGGACAGACTGGTCACCTTCACCACCTTGGTTTCAGTTGTTACATTGGCTTCTACCTCAAACAGAATTTCAGAACCAACACTTCGGTCAACCATATACTGGTATGATCCTTTATAGATACAACAGGGCCTGTAGATACCGCAATGTCTTCAGAGAATTAATAAAAATTTGCAATTAGGCCTCTTTTCTGACAAGGTGCAGTAACTGTGTTACAGCCAAAAAGGACAATCAAAAAGTGGCATTATCAACGAAATCAAATTGACCCTTCATATAAACATCTACTGATATCAGATGTGAGGTTGTAACACAATACAATGTAAACAACTGCCAATGCAGGGTTTGATGTCACTGGAACATTGTCTCCCTAACACACCAAACACAGCTGGGGAGGGGGCAATCATCTAACCGACTTCTTTGTTTCAAATTCAACTGATATTGGTAAGTGCCTAGTCTCCAACACTTCACTTTAACGGAGTAAACTTATTGAATCCTCAAAAATGAATATTGAAAAAGATTTACATTTCCTATAACTGCACATTGAAACTCTGACCTTCGCTACTGAGGACAAAGGTCATCAATCCAAAAATATTCCTTGTTACAGTGATTCACCAAAGTCTTGCAACAGAGGCACATTTGGAGAAACTTTTCATTAACCTTAATATAATACTAATTTGTATAAGATTTCCTGGCTTGGAAAAATGTCTCGTGCAGCGCTGGACTGTTCTGCTGCTCTTCACTGGTTCCAAGCAAAACCATAGTTAAGCATTCCAGATTTGTTGTTTCAATAACTAATTTTGAATTTACAGACTGTCTTCGAGGTTACAAAAAAAGTTAAGCTTATATGCCGTGTGTTCATATAGCCATCCTGCAGTACACGGATTAAATGTTGTAGGCAGACTTACCAGACAGTGCTGTACTGCTCTGAAACTGCTTGACCTTTATTGATTCAGAACCATTACCCTAATCACTCTTTGGACTTAGATGGTGCCATAGCATAAGGATCATTGAATGGATCAATACTTAGACATCTGAACATCCTAAAATTTATATTTGCCTACCTTCCTGGGTCACTTACATGCTTATTTTCCATAATTTGTTCATGGATAATCACATATAGAGGGACAAAAACCATAAAATATTTCTTGTAGCCTACATACTGTAGAGAATAATTATGGGCATTTTCGAGTCGACGACTAAACGTACATGTATTTCGAGAAGACAGCATGATGCATTAAGTATTCAAAATGGGCCCTTCAAAATGGACTCTTTGTGCTACTAAAAAAGCATGTAGGAACATGTAACACATAATTTGTACAGAAAATAATCCACACTGGCGGATTCTCAAGAGAATTTGTTACCTTAAAAATAAAAAAAAAACCTGTTTCTCAGTATACTATGACTGAAATGGGCTGTTCCAAAAAATAAATGTGGAGGGGGGGTGGAAGAGCTTGGATTTTCTATTTTCTGACCCCCCTTTCATTGCTATCCGAGTACCTTGACCCCCTTTCATTTCATCCATATCCAGGTGTCTTGACCCCTTAAAAATGTTATCCAAACGACTTGACCCCCTATAATTTCATCCAAATCCAGGGTGAACCCCTCTCAATCCAAAATCCACACCCACTAACCCCCTTAGGTAAAATCCGACCTCTTCCACCCCCCCTCCTCAGTTATTTTTTTGAACGGCCCAATGAATCAAGGAAGATAACCTTGACTCGGTGCTACTGAACTTTTCCCACCGTTTCCTGCCGGAAGTGCGTCAGAGGACATAATGGCTGCCCACGTGTGGGTCTGAATGTTCCACCACTTCTGTACATAATTACTGCAGTAAAATCTAGTACAGCGGATTCGGTACCGTTCATTTCAGAAAACGTACTCGTGATTAAACCAGTGAAATTCAGCGAAGAAACCACCTAGTTCACGCTTTAGCGAACAACCTTCCACTATGCAAATATCGCGTGGCGGCCATGACGAAGAGGCCGCCATTTTTGTGACCGGCATTTCGCTTCCAAACACACAAAAATGAAAAGTTCACCTTCCCCGCAAATCTTAAACTTTGTTCCTGAAGGTCACAAGGGTATAGCGTCGGTTTCAAGTCACTTCTATGGCAACCTGCTTCGAGACAAAAGCGAGAATAATGGGCGGTGGATTGTCTTTCTACCGGCGCCCGGCGTCCCCTCAGCTAAGGTTTCCATGTCGCCTACAGGGGTCACCCGCAAAACCCTGACATACGCGCTTCTTTGGACAAATTTTCCAGTCATATACACAATTCTACAAGTATGGGTGCAATAAACCGTGAATAAAGTGAGTTTGGTGACCATGCTCGGCTGTATTTCGTACAAAACCTTGGGACATTTGAAGGTCACATGACCGCAGCCATGCCGCCATGAAAAAAGCCGGGTGTGCATGTCGCCCGGCTTAGCGTACTGAAAAACTGCGTGGCTCACCTGCAGAAGCAACTTCACTCGCTCAATGGGGGCCACGGCCGTCTTAGCGATAGCCGCAGAGATACCACCGGCAAGGAAGTCCTTGAGGAAGCCTACAACTTGATCCGAAGCCATGGTGCGTTGTGTCGTGCTCCGCGCTCGAAGTGCTCAGATTGCGAAAGGAGGGTGGGAAGATGGCGATGGGCAAACCGTGACGTCATGTACACGTGATCGGCGATGGCTCTGCTACATCTTGTGATTGGCTATAAAATGAGATATGCCTACGTTTCGGCAAAATGGACCAATCATGGCTAATGTTACAGTCGCGTACACCTCCAAATCGGACGACATCAACATGTTATTCTTAGTAGGGGTGTAATATTTTTAAAATGTCAATATCGATACAAATATGACTTGTACTCAATAGATTTGGAAAAGAACGTTTTATCATTAAAGGTAATTTGTTTCAATCGCCCTTTTTGACCTTCTATTCCTATTTGAACTCAAATTTTTACAAAATCTTCCCAGTGTTAAAAAGTTGGGTAGGTCTTGCCTGCTTGGTTGCGTAATCCAGGTGGCGGGTTAATGCTTGACCTAAAAACTCTGCACCTGTCAAGCCCCTCCCTGCTTGTTCAGGTGTACTGTTCAGGTGTACCAAATTTACACTTGATTTATAATGCTATTGCAGAGTCTGCCCAACATGGAAGGCCAATTAACATAAATCGAAACTACTAGTACTTGATGGGAGATACTGTTAATAAGTCAGACATAATTTTAATATTCCATAGTTAAAACATTTGCACAAATTATGTCCTTGAATCTCATAATTGAATTAAGCATTATCAATTTTTTTCTTTCAGAATTAAGTTTGCAAGTCATAATTTGTAACCTACAAAGATACAGGTTATAGCAGCTGCACATAACATTACATGCACTAACTCCATGACTGTCTACTAAGTGCTACTCATCACTGACATCGAGGTAATTCTGGGTGTCCCTGACCTTTCAATGACTGTTCACATGTTGGTGGACAGTTCATGGAGTTCATTCACCCATTGAAATTCCTGGCAAATTACAATTCTGAATTGTTTTCAAAAGGCTGCAAAGTATCAGTTTTGCAGAGATTCAATAGGGTTTGAAGCAAAATGAGTTGTTACTGCTAGACTACTAGTACATGTATACCCATCCGGTTTGCATGGCTGTAGGTCAAACTACTGAACTACATGAAATGTCTGGCCGTTTCTAGAATCATACCTAATTCCTTGAGTAACTGCTTTTCCATGTACTTCTTGATTGAACCAAGGTTTTATCAAGATAAACCTCTTTGATTGATCTAAAATGCATCCATGCAATAAAACATAGAGTAAGGTAGTAGGTTTACAGAAATGTTGTTTTATTCTTCTCATCATGAATGGTGACTAGTTGTCTATGACACAGAATTCAGATGGTGACATGTATGTAGGGCTTTCCATGGAGTATATACAAGCGGTTCCCATTCTGCAATGTCTCAAAAATACTCATAACCATATACATGTATGATTTTCAGGGCATTTTAACTACAGGTATTTGCCTCTTGTTCCAAGTGATTGTACTTCAGCAATTTCGCACTTGAATGTGTGATATTGGGTGACTTAGTGTATGGAAATGAAAATGAGATAAGGCAAGCTGACTGAGAAACATGCTGATGTAAACTAAGTTTGCCTTCTTTGCATAAGTTTTCTTATACTAAAGACTCACAAGAAGTCTTACCGGCCATAAACTCATCCCAAAGTTATATCAATGTCTCAGAAGTTGTGTGCATGTAATCAAGTTATGTAGAAGATGAGTTATAATGCACAAGCATTACATTTGAAAATACATGTATAAAAGACATTCAATTTACCCATGTCAAAGTAGAGGAAAGAACAGAATACAGTAGATCTAGTTACCATTCAAATGAAGACAGGAAGATTTATAGATGCCCTTTCAGCAAAATAAATACACATTTTGCATAAAATGACACAATATACTTAAACACATTTTTTCTTCTGCAACATTTACATGTGTCATACCTGAATGCAATCTTTACTACATGTAGATTTTTTCCCAATGCAATGATACGGAAAGTATAGCTCAACTTCCATTTCGTTCCATTCCATTCAATCAAAATATTTATACATTCTAGAGTACTAATTACAGAGAATGTGTTTTGTCACTCTTAAATCTTCATATAGTTTGTGAAGAAAAGCCTGGTACACAAATCATTACAGTTGTCAGGACAAAGAGATTTTAGGTCTAGGGTAGGACATATAACATATCACACTAAAGGTCACTTTGGAACAATGTGCATTCACAGATATACAACTGAATGACATACATGTATACACAAAATCAGAAAAATAATCTTTGAAATAAATCTTCAGGTTCATCAATAGCAAAACAATACAAGATATCAAATATGGCTTACCTTCCAGGGACTTTCATACATTTTTCCAATTTGCAGCCATCTTAATGGAGCAAATAATATACTAGTAATAATATTTTGAAATTTCCTTAGAAATCTTTTTAGTCAAGCAAATGATGCATGCTTTAAACACATAGGAAACTCAGTTCCATAAATACAATTTACACAAGTTCAAGAACAAAAATTTATGAACAAAGGAAAACAACACAACAATTATTTCAACAAGATATACAATTCAATAATGGCTTTTAGCAAGTTCTTGATTTTGCAATGGGGGAGAAATTGTTTTAACAGTTAGGTTGTTGGGAGTTAATAACTTTATCTCTTATTCTCTTTTTCAAGACCTTATTCCGACTATGAATCTCAAGTCTTTATAGAAACATGTCTCTTTTCCACATATTTGTATACAATTCTTCAATGTCTTATACTGCAATGTACTTTGATGTCTGATAACAACAAATACATTAAATAACCCACCACACATTGTAATTTACATACAAGCATACACATTTTGAAGTTTTGAAGTAGGAAGTTTAGGATCAAACATGTAATGACTACTCCACACTTCACAGCAATCATGATGGAAGTCCATCTCTCAACAGCAACTAGTCCTTGAAATCAACAGAATATATACACTGATTTTGCAAGAGAATATTAAGAAAATTTACCTTTTTTGACTTTATGTCATGCTTGGTGATAACTATTTACAATGTGATTCTGAAAAGATAAATGCAACCATGTAACCTTGTAAAGATGTCTAAAGAGCTTTGTGATCAAACTATTCATATACATGTACATTAAAAAAAAACATCATATCATAGAGTTAGTACAAGCCTTTGCACAGTGTTCTTTTGTTTCTAAACACTGAAGAAAATCTTACCTCTTGTATTTTCACATGTGGGCTTTGGTATATAAGTTATTTTATTGTAATTATTACAAACATACACTAAACCACCGAACAAGCTAGAAGTAGTGTAGACACTTGCACATGGAGGATTAAGGGTGAAGTAGTGAGAATATGAGAGGACGAATATTAATATCCTCTGACCTCACCTGTCAATACTCATTTGTCTCTAGCTCTGCAAACTAATAACGTGCAAATTTCCCCATTTGTTCTCTGTTCAAAAGCTACTTAGTGTAACTATAATTTGAAACCACATTCTTCACTCATGGTCAGTGTTATGTACACTCCATTTTTCTTACAACAGTTTTGGTAAATCCCTTCTCCACGTATTCCCACACTATTGTTTCATATATCTTTTTTGACATATATTGTCTGTTGTTATTGGCCACCAGAATGAAACAGATGATCTGTACATCAATGTACAATTGACTTACAGTGGGCTTTTAAGTATAATTTAGCACTGAGTGACTTGGGCAGCCTGTGGCTTTGACTCCAGCCTGCTTGTTAGTAATAAGCAAGGGGTCAGAATTTCTGTCATCCCTGTTACCAACATCAACTCTGGCTAGAGGTGTCATTCAAATAATAGCACCTAGTTTCCTCTGCCTGCAAACAGACATGAAAAATTGTCTAACACTTTCTGGGTCCATAAAGGAGTAAGTTTTCTGGTCTATTTCACTACAACATTTGTTGTCCTCTACTTCCGAGTGAAGGAGCAAGTTAGCCACAGCTACTTCCAGACCAGCCTGACTGTCAGCCAGCCAGCCAGTCCTGTGTCTAGTTCTGCTTCTGTTCCTCCCGAGGCTGCTGCTGATCCCACAGCTCCTTCTCCTTCTCCAGTCTCTCCCGCTCCTGGTCCTCCTTCTCCTCCAGATCCTCCTCAGCATGGAGCAGCTTCACCACTTCCCTCAGCTGGGACTCTGTCAGGTCAACGTCCTCCTCAAGGATCATCTGTATCGCCTGCAGGAACAAACATGGAGCTCACGGGGTGTTTCAACTGTGCATCAGAGAGACAGCCTCTAACCAGCACATCGGCAGAACGTACTGCACGATACTCAATGTATTGTGAATAGCACTTTGCGAGAAGGTCTCATATAAGGTAGTGTTGGAGCATATAAGGTTAACAATCTAACAGTAGTTTCAAAATGTTACGTCTGAAAAGATATTGTGTGCAACAGGCAAAATTCTGATGCAACGTTGAGCAAACATCCAATGAAAACTGTTTTGCCGATATTCTATTGACGTACTGCTCTAAGCCTCTAACCATGCCCATTCCCATTCCAAGAACTACCAATAGGAGCTCAGGATTCTTTGTCACTATGGAAACTAGTCAACTCAGCGTCCAACACCAAGGTAACAAACAATTTTCACAGACAATAGTAGGGTCCGTGTTAGCCCATACACATAAATCAACAGGACTGAGATGTTCCCAATCCTCCTGACTTTCATGAGTTGTTGGCTAATATTGTTGTAGTCAGATTAGCTCCAATCTTACCTTATTCACTTCATTCAAGCGGATCTGTCCATCATGGTCATCATCCAACATCTGGGCGATGTGTTCCAGCTTCTGGTCAGATGCCATGTCCTTGGTGTCAATGTTCTTGATCTTCTTCAAGACTTCCACCAGTTCATCTAAGGTCACCAGACACTCCCTGGGAGTTGACATAAATGGTTGGTTACAACTGGTACAGTTCTATGTTTAACTTGGTGACATGGTAAGAAGTTTAGTAAGTGAAATCATTACTTAACATCAGCTACAAACATTTGCAACATGGTGCTAAAAAAAGAAACTAACAAAACTATGTTAGTAATACCCACTTAAACAGTGCTCACTACGTACCTGTATGTTAGTGGCATACTGGCATACACCAGGAAACAAGCTTTAGCTAACAAAGCCTTCCCATCATCTACATGTATACCTACAACATTATAATTTCTATCATCTTTTGTGGCAGTTCCTTTTGGTTTCCTTAAAGGTGTGGAACAGGAGATAGTTGTATAGGTAAAGAGGAGACCAGTAGACATGAAAAAAAAATTTTCTAGCAGAAGGAGGAAAACAGAACATTCTGACAAAAGAATTTGAAAGTTTAAGGTACAGTCTGCCCGTTGATGAAAAAGTTGGCAC